TGGTGGATAGATACATCAAGTCCGGGCCCTTGGCTGACAGACCCCTCTCCCCCTGTCAATATGCATACAGGGAGGGAAGATCAACAGATACCGCCTTACATCACCTGGTGAGACTGATTGAGGGACAACTGACGGTCAATGGTTTTGCCATATGCGCCTTTCTGGATATTGAGGGGGATTTTGATAGCACTTCGAATCCGGCTATAGAGGAAGCCATGGAAGAACGAGAGTTGTCCAAGACTATCATTGCTTGGACACAAAACATTCTGAAAGGCAGAAGACTGTCGGCAGGACATGGGAGGGCATGTGTGGAGGGACGTCCGTCTAGGGGCTGTCCGCAGGGGGGAGTTCTCTCGCCCCTGCTATGGAACCTGGTTGTAGATGGACTTCTAAATCAACTAAGTGACCGTAACCGGCTTCCACATCACCGGTTTCGCCGATGATGTGGCAGTTGTTGTGAGAGGCGGATTCCTGAGGGTGCTAAGAGACCTGATAGCAACAGCCTTCAATATCATTGAGGACTGGTGCAGGGAAACTCGCCTGTCGGTAAATCCAGCCAAGACAACAGTCCTGGTTTTCACCAGAAATTATAAACTGAAAAAGATCCAACTTCTGAAGCTAAATGGCTCGGAGATAAACTACACCAGCAGAGTGAAATATCTGGGTGTCCTCCTGGATAATAAACTCAGCTGGAAAGAATATATCTGTACACAGAGAAATAAAGTGTTTGCCTCTATGTGGGCGTGCAGAATAGCTGTGGGCAGGACATGGGGACTCAATCCTTAAATGATGCTCTGGCTCTACAAAATGGTTCTACTTCCGAGACTGTTATACGCTCCGGTCGTCTGGCGGCCAAGGGTGAATAAGACGGAAACAAGGAACCTATTGAAAAGCCTACAGGGAACCTTCCTGAGGGCTGCAACAGGAGCCATGAAATCGACATCTTCTGAGGCGCTAGAAATAGCACTCAGTATCCCACCCCTCGACCTTAGGGTTGTGAATTGTGCTACCACAACTGCATATAGACTAAGGTGTCAACAAGAATGGCAGATGACGGGCCATACAAGGCTTAGCCTAATCAATGATCGACCCTTCATAGGTAAGACGGATAGGATTCCTAGGAAGTATCAGATCAGGAAAACTTTCAGAACGAGTATACCACCCAGACAGGAGTGGCTAGACTCGAAACGTAAACCAGGACCAAGAGAGGACTACTGGTTTACGGACGGCTCTGGCTTCAATGAAAGTTTTGGGGCAGGCATCTACCGTCTGAAAGATGGCTTCGGAGAGAGTTTTCCGCTGGGCCATCATTCAACCNATCGACCCTTCATAGGTAAGACGGATAGGATTCCTAGGAAGTATCAGATCAGGAAAACTTTCAGAACGAGTATACCACCCAGACAGGAGTGGCTAGACTCGGAACTTAAACTAGGACCAAGAGAGGACTACTGGTGTACGGACGGCTCTAGCTTCAATGAAAGTTTTGGGGCAGGCATCTACCGTCTGAAAGATGGCCTCGGAGAGAGTTTTCCACTGGGCCATCATTCAACCGTCTTTCAAGCAGAAATGCTGGGCATACTTAGGTGTGCAGAGTACGCGAGAGACACAAAAAAGACGAAAATATTCATCTGCAGTGACAGCCAGGCGGCGATTCACGCCCTGGAAAAACCCACTACAGAGTCACAGGTGGTGTGGGAATGCATGCAGGCATTGGACACACTGGGTAAAAACAACCGGGTCACCGTAACCTGGGTACCAGGTCACCATGGGATTCTGGGTAATGAAGAGGCAGATAAGCTGGCCAAGGAAGGTACAGGAAGGGTGCCCTCACACGGCCTGCTTGACATGCCATTCGCAGTGGGAAAAACTCTTATTAAAGATCATTTCCAGCGAGATCATGTCAGGTGTTGAGAGAAAGTTGCGACCTGCAGACAAGCGAAACTACTTATGAGGGGGCAACTACGAGTTAGAACCAGAAAGCTTGGAAAAAAAAAAAAACCAGAATGCTTCTGGAGCTGTACAGAGGGGATCTGACGGTAGCAGTAGGGCTCCCTACGGGTCATACAGCTCTCAGAGCTCATCTCTTCAAGATGAAACTTGCAGAACAAGAAGACTGCAGACTGTGCGGAGGCGATAAGGAGGGCGTCATCCACATTTTATGTGAATGCCCCCTATTAGCACTCCGTCGCTATAAAATCTGGGGCCAGGCTTTCCTGGAACCAGAGGACTTACAACAAGCGACTGTCACCAGCCTTATTAGCCTAGTGAGAAACACAGGGCTGGGGCAGTTCCCGCACTTATTCCCTAAGGAAAAAAACTTCCGGAAAAAATTTCCTGGAATTATTTTTTTCCGGAAAAAATTACTTGGAAAATTTTTTTCCCGGAAAAAATTACTTGGGAATTTTTTGTTTCGGAAAAAATTACTTGGGAATTTTTTGTTTCGGAAAAAATTACTTGGGAAAATTTTTTTCGCGGAATTTAATTCCTTTTTTTTTACTTCCTTGGAAAAAATGTCAGAAAAAAAAATAAAATCCATTTTTTACATCAAAAATGTACAGAAAATGATTTTGACAGAAGTTCAGGGAAATTTTAGACTTAATGGGCATATTTTGGCTTTAGATTCTAGCTGGAAATGTATTGAATGTTGCGATAGTAAAATTGACGTTGGAAGGGATAGCGACAATCGACTGGAGATTAATTTCCCTCTCTTATGACACTGTTTCGTGTAGTGTTTATATTGTGCCGTGGCTAATACCCAAATATATATGTATCCTTGGGAATTTCGTGAGCTCAAAATTATTTCCATTAACACAATTCAAGTGATATTCGTTTGAAACACATGTTATTTTTTGCACGCGTGAATCTCGATGCTGATTGTGACTGAATTGTATTTTGTGTTGTGGCTAAACGTACAAAAATGGCTTTGAAATTTATTAAAAATCAAAAAGGCCACAACAATTCAACTTACAATGGCTATTTGTATTATATGATATCGAAGTCTAATGAAAAAGTTAAATGGCGTTGCACGAAATATGGAAAGACTTGTCATGGTGCTTGTCACACCACCAACGATACTGTTGACGGTTTTTATTTTCAAAAATCGTGTTACTATTCATTAGCGTCGATTATTTGTATGTTTATTGATTTCGGCTTGTTTTTGGTGCTTTCAAGGGAAATAATTTATGTGAAAGATCATACCCATGCAGTAGATGCGGGTGCCATTGAGGCATTGGAAGTGAAAGCGAATTTAGCTGAAAGAGCGGTTAATACTCATGATGCGCCTTCTCTCTTAGTTGCTAAAGCATTGACAAATGCGAGTACTTCGGCTTTGGGACGTTTGCCTAATGCGAAGTCCTTGGGAAAAACGGTCAGGAATAGACGGACTATTCACAATCCCGTTCCACGTAATCCCACTTCCCTGGAAAATTTGGAAATACCAGAAATCTATTTTCAAAAAACAAAGGGGGAAGAATTCCTGTTGTATGATTCAAAAGGAAATCCACGAATCCTTATGTATGGCACCGAAGAGAATCTGAATGTTTTGGCGAGTTGTGAGATCTGGCTGGGCGATGGGACATTCCAAAGTGTTCTATCTTTGTTTACTCAGTTATATACATTGCATGGTCTTGTGGAGGGCAAAGTTTTACCACTGACCTACGTTTTAACATCGAACAAGTGCAAGAAAACTTATGTTCAAATTCTGCGGAAATTAAAAGAATTGAATCCTGGTTTGGAACCAAGGCTAATGTTAGTAGATTTTGAAGTTGACATGATCACCGCATTCGAGGCGGAATTTCCTTCGGCTAGTGTGAGCGGATGTATGTTCCACTTCAACCAATGTATCTGGTGAGGCATTCAGATATGTGGTCTTCAGCAAAAATACAATAATGATGGTGATTTTGCACTTCACACTCGAATGCTGGCTGCATTAGCCTTTGTTGATAGTGCGGAGGTTGTTGAGGCGTATGAGTTTTTGCTTGAAACGCCCTACTATCAGGCGAATATGAACGTTTATGAGCCTTTGCTTGATTACATGGAGGACAATTGGATTGGTGTTAAAACGCGTCGCCAAGAACGAAGAGCACCTTCTTATTGCATTGAGATGTGGAATCAGTTCGAAAATGTTGTTAATGATCAACCACGTACAACAAATGCAGTCGAAGGCTGGCATCATGGCTTCAATGAAAGCGCACAAACCGCCCACTTATGCTTGTGGAAATTCATTGATTTGATTAAAACTGAGCAGGCCCTCACAGAAGCTTGGATGGAGCAATTGAATGCTGGTGGGGAACCGCCTAAGAAGAAGAAGAAATTTTTTTTTTTTTTATGCTCATTTTATATCGCTTCGAGTCTGATGAGACTATATGGCGATTGATCAAGACTTTAAAAATGGTTAGATCTCACCATTCTACCCGGCCAGGAATCGAACCTGGAACCTATCCGTTGTGAGGCAACGGCCTTAACCACTACGCCAGGCCACCGGGCCTAAGAAGAAGAAATATCGCGATTATGATAAACGCATTAAAAAACTTATTGAAAAGTACGGAGGTATTGATATTGTAAAATATTTGCGAGCCATTGCTCAAAATATTTCATTATAAATAATTTAATGGATTGAGGAAATTTTTGCAGCTAATTAGATTTAGTTTACATTAATATTTTTTTGACAATTATAATATTTACAGTTATCAACAATTATTATTTTTCGCAATAAAAAAAGAAAGAATTACAATCAAATGTGACTGGATAAGTTATTATTTCCCTAAAAAAGTTATTTTTTCCCAAAAAAATTAATACCGGAAAATTATTTCCAAAAAAAAATTTGCCAAATAATTTTCGTATAATAATTTTTTAAATAATCGTATGATTTAGGTGACTCTGGGCGCTTTAAGTGACCTGCCGCGCATATTCTATTCTATTTTATTATAAAAAAATTGAAAAAAACGAGGATGCGTATTTTTATCACAAATGCTAATTATTACGTGAATGAAGGATCAAAATCTGACTCCTCGTTCTTTCTTTTCCGCATCGGTCAATTCCATTTTCCCTTGGTTCCAAGTTTGAATTATTTGAACTATTTGCCTAGGCTCCCCAGCCTTTTCCTAATCACCAGATTCAATATACTTTTTCATATTGTCCTCCAATTATATATTTTGTTACGGTCATCTAGTGGGTGAATGGGCAATTTTTTAAAATGAAAACACATACCACAAATTTCGGAATTGTCAGAAATTTTCTCCAACATGAAACTAATGGATTTAAGGAAAATGATTAAATGTCCCCAATGTTTGGTATACGAATATCTACAGAGTACAATTCAATGAATTGGGCATTACTTTCAAAGAATTGTTAAAAAGTTGAGAGAATGCCCAATTGGAGATTTTTTTCCAATCCACTGCTGAAAGTAAATAAATGACCTGAAGTTTACATTACTATTTATTTCCTAAATCTAGCATTTCCTTCTATGAACATGGCAAATCAATTTTGTTTGAATTATGTTATTTTGTTCTCACCTTCCTTTTCTTTTTGGTGTCCTTGACTCTAACCTCGACATCTTCAACTTCCTGGGGCAAGCTTTCGTCGAACAGACTGGTGTTCAGTTTGGGGATGGGAATCCTCTTCCCATTCGTTACCTTATGTAACCCTTCCAAATTGCCTGAAATTTGATAACACATTAGCAATAAATCCAGATATGCGAAACATTTGAAGAACGAATGGTACAGGGTTTATATTTTATTCTCTCATTAGAACATTTGCTGAAATTGAATTTAATTTGATGAATCAAAGATGTTGCACTGTCCGTACAATATGAGGGGGGATAACGTTCTTCGAAAACTATCGTTGAATCACGATAATTAATTGAAGACAGGGTTTAGCAGAAAAAACTGTGGAATATACTGTGTAACCCTAACCTCTGTCGATTTAATGCCAGAGAAAATGAAAATGAATTGCGGAAATGTTGATGAAAAAATCCAAAGTGAAAAATCGAATTTTACCTACCATGTGCTGCTAAAACTTGGACCTTCACAGTTTTTCCACTGCCAAGAATTCTTTTATGAATTTTTTTCACTCGTTCCTGGGGGTCCTCTTTGAGGTATGACACTATGCTAAAGCCTTCGAGTTCGGCACCGTCAATCATATTACGTTTCCTAGTTCTGGAGTTGAATACCTGAGTCCAAACCATCGTATTTCTGTTCACGAGCGTTGTAATTAATTTTGCCGTAGAGAAATTAATTATGAAAAGGTGAATGGAAGCAAGACGTGATGACACCAACACGGTGAGGTTAGCGTGGCCGATGATAAAAAACCGCGAAAATTATTAATTCAGCGTGTGGTGCGCGCGTCGGCCTTTCTCCCACCACCATTAACCACTTTATACGAATGTTCATGTATGTATGAATTGGAACATTCCTCTTCCGACAAACTGAAATTCGAAACTTCTATTGCTCGCCAGCAATACCGTACCATCACAATCCACGTATGAAAACAATTCAAAATAAAATAGCGAAAGAATCTGTAAAGTTTTTTATCGGATGGATATTCCATAATGGATGAAGCAGTTAAGTGCACTTCTCCAATAATTGTTTAATTGAAATATTCAGGTATCTCGAGCCGACAGATCGTTTGAATATAAAACAAGGTTAGATATATTTATTGCCTGCATTGGACTTTTATTTTGATTTTTTTATTGCAGATTTATTGATTGTATTGCAGTTTCTTATGTGTATTATGTCTGTTTATTAAAGTCTGCAAGCATTGGAGAGACATTGTTCCTCATTCGTCGAGTTCAATTAAAAATTTTCCAAAGGATGTAAGATGTGGGCTGAGGACACCAATGAAGATGTCCAAGATTCTTGCCAATTGCGCTGCATTTGTACAATTTTTACGAATAGAGAGCAATCACAAAGCATTACTTGATGCTGCAGCTCGTTGTGAGAATGTGACAACATTTTCATTCAAGTTCCTACGTGATGATGACAGCTATAATGAAATGCTGTTAACAATTTTCAAAAACAACTCAACTTTAAGCACAATAACGCTAGAGTCTGTGCCATCTTATTTTTCGTGGGACTCTTTAAAAGTTCTCACAGGGACTCTGCAGGCATTGATCCTATGCTGCGACAGTGATGTTTATTCAATGGTAAGTGGAATGTTGACAATTGAATTATAGTTGACAATTAATAAACGCGGACACAATTATTCACAGGACATATCAGAATTTACGAAATTGAAGAGGCTTGGGCTGCGTTCAGGTGGTACAAACACTTCCCACTTCCTAGGTCTTGAGTGTTTGCAATCTATGGAAACTTTATCCCTGAGATATCTTAGTGTGCAGGAGGATTTCGGGATAAAAATTGCCATGCTCCACAGACTCAAGTATTTGGAAGTGATAGGTGTAAGCAGTCTTTCGCCCCGAGATCTCCAAATCATTGTGGCTAACAATGAAGCGCTCGAGGAGCTATCCATTCAAAGTGAGTACTCCAATTAATATATATGAGGTTGTAAGGATATTTTCCCGGGTTGTTCGCCCAGGAAAAATCCAAACTACTTTTTAGCCGTCTCCATCGCTCAATGGTCGGGCGCCAGCCGAACCTTCACGGGAGGTTCGACGAAAACCGGCCTCTGAGGCTAACTCGTTCACTCAGAGGACTTCTGTGGCCGGGCAAAGGGTTGCCCAGCTAGCATCAGTGTGACACGGTAGGGTGGGCGAGGTCCACCAGGAGTATCTTATGCCAAACGTCACCAGCCACTATTTCAGGCTGGATATTAAGCCTCACGGCCTAATCATCCATGTAAAGTGAATTTACTCTCATCCTGGAGGGTTTTTCACTCTCTCAGTAGGCTTTCGCCTCCCGAGTATTTCGACTCGGGAGGGTTTTCAGAATTAAATGCGAATCAGCCGGGACTCCTCAGAGCCTGGGACGCCGAGAGGCTGATCCGACCAAAGTGGAACCCTGTTACCCACTTCACGACCACCCACACTCTCGGCCACCAGTTACCGCTTCGGTCATCGCACGTCACCGTCTCCGGGTACTCGAATGTCGGCACATGGTCCGGTCGACAGGAGGACGATCTCCACTCCAGACCCACGGGCCCATGCGTACCACATTTGTTTCGCCGAGCCGAATAACGCCGGAAACAACAAAGTCGTCACTAAGAGTTCCGAAATAACTCTTTTTCCATTTGTGGGGGATGCAGGAGCATCCCCCTACGTTCGCTACCATCAGTTATGCACCTCGCCGCGCTGAGCTATTCGCCCACCATTCCTGTGGCCATCTTTCAAGCCAACACCACAGTATATCTCGGAGAAATCCTTTCGACTTCCCCGCTCGAGCGTCCGCGTTCGACTCACTCTGCATCTTACTAAGGCCTTCTCCCCCTAGTCTGGATATCTCAGCGACGATAGGTCATTCCGTTACCCTATCCCCACCAATCAACCCGACGGGATCCCGGGGGCACCAGTCCTCTCACCTGGCCGTTGGTCCCTAGTCTACTCTGACATAGCCTATGGAATCGCCCAGTTGGACAGCCTGTACGTCGCCCCCTTTTCCCTAGCACATGCTGGGCGAATTCCAAAATAGCGATAGTCTAGTAACGTCCTCCAGACCTCCAGGGGTCGCGGTTTTACCCATAACCGCTATGCCTTAGGTCTTTCATCGGTTTGTCGCTCAGTTCATCTAGCTGCGGCTTCCTTCAGCCGCCTCTAGATGTCGCATCATGTCTCAATTTTAGAGTTCACGTCTCTTTTTAACGGGATTTCAACTCGTAACAAGAAAATTTCGTTACAAGGTTTTCCTTACCTAATGGTCAACGAAGCTGTTTCTAATCAAATTTCAGCCTTATATTTTTGAGAGACGTTGATATGGCACTGAATGATCTTTTCCAATCACGTTACATCTATTTTCTTTTCTAAAAAAGTATCTTTGTAAGCAATGTAACTTGATTTTTCATTCAAGTTCAAGTTCAAGTTCAAGTTTATTTCTTTGTTTGAGACGTAACATCTTGTACAAAGGTGAGTTTGTTCGACATATAAAAAATTCAGACAGATAGTTAATTTCAGGTTTACATCAAATTATTTTTATAACTAGAATTAAAAGCTAACCGCAATCATCCGTGCCATCATACATTTCTCACACCAGAGTTTAAATCACAAGCTTTTTACTCGCATTAGTCCAGAAGTTTTGAATAGCGAATACATGATTTTTCGTAGAGGCGTTTAGTAAATATAGCAAGGAAAAAGTGTTCGGATGACATTCTGTTTTCTTGATAAGAGTTTGCCTTTCCATTTCCAATAAAGGGCATGCCGTGAAAAAATGTGTAAATAAATCTACGTCTGAGGTATCACAGTAAGGACATATTCTTTCACAAGTAAAATTAATGGTTACATTTTTTGACGGTAATTTCGGAACTATTGTACCTTGAAGTCTACATTGGGCAATTAGTTTGATTGATTCAATTGGAACTCGTAACTTCAAGTATTCTTGAGTTGCATCGGAGATGTTGAGAAACGGGAAGAAAAGTAACGACGAGAACTTGCGCCTCTCTCTATCTTGATTTTGTATTGCTAGTTTATGTCTCTGTATTATATCTTTTCCGTTTCGTATAATATCACTAGGTGAAGTTAAGGCCCGTAACCCAT